AAAATATTTTAATAAATTTATAAATTAATATATATATTTTAATGTGTAATTTGATTTAGAAAATACCTTTCTGTTTTTTAAACCCCAAAAAGGGACAGATAGGAAGGGAATGCTGTTTGTATAAATCCTCCTTTGGCCACAGCTGGCAACCAGGGACTGAGCTAGTGTAGGACAAAAGGGGGGGGTGTGGGGAGCTGCCCCCCTAAGCTTTTGAAAAATATTAAACATGGTACATCATATTTTCTTTTTTACAAAATTTTATATTTGAAGTTAATTTGAATTATAGAAACCATTCAAATATAAAAAAATATTTAAGACCAAGGTAAAGGAATCGTTTATTTGTTTATTTGTTTTTTTTATTATTTTTTGAACAATGAGAAATTTTTTCAGAGAAAGGGAAAAGGGGACCTAGGATTAAAACCCAAGTCTTCGTAGTCTTAAACACATCCTGCAAGGAGGGGTCAATAGGCGGCCAAGTGCTGGACGGAATCGTTTATTTCTTTGTGATTAATTTTTATAAAGACATGATAATTTTATTTAGGTAAGAATAAATATAAAAAGTAGTAAAGATTTAGTTATATTAAGATATAATTTATGTAAGTTTTTACATTAGTTATATATATATGGTATGATTTATATTTTATTAAATCAAAGTTGATTTGATATATATAACCTTGTCTAAAAAAATTATATTTTTATACTATTTATTTAATGGTCTTAAATTCTATATATATCTAATTAATATAAAATTTATTGTGGATGATATAAGTGATACATGCATAAAAATAATAATTGATTTAAAAACCAATATACATTATACTAATATAAATTGTTAAAACTTCGTTTATTAGTATTCTATTGTAGGTATAAGTTTTTTTATCTTTTAATATCTTAAAAATATATAAAATATTAACCAAAATGAATTAAAATACATAAAATATTAATTTTTTGGCCAAATATAAAATATTAACTACTTATAACAAATTTACATTTTTATAAAAATTATTATAAAAAAAATTTATATAAAATATAATCAAAATGAAACTTAAATAAGTCATAAAAAAATTTAAAATTTTGCCTTTCCTGACTTAAATTTCTCACTCCGTCCTGCTGGCAACTAAGGACTGTGGTGAAGGACAGGCATGAATCGGTCTGAATACTTGCTTATATTTTTATTTCAGTTTAGTTTAATAATTGATTTATTAACTATTAGTTTAATTTTATATTAGTTTAAAAAATTTATTGTCTTTCAAAATAGTTTATAAACTTTATAAAATATATCAGAATAATCTATTGTATAAATCTTTCATTAGTTTTAATAGAAAAATAATAGAAAAGTTAAATCAAAATTAAAATAGAGGAGTCCCAACTAGTAAAATTGTTTGCAACAAATTGTGTAAACTATTAAAATATACCAATAATTGTAGTTTGTGCTATAAAAGAAAATTGTTAAAAGGAAAAACTGAAACAATATGTGAGAAAAGTTATAGTTTCTCAAATAGTGAAAATAAACTTATTATCCTCATAAAATTAGTTTTATTTCAAAATTAATTTCAAAGAGTAAAAATAATAGAAAAATAATAGAAAAATAAAAAAATAATAAAAAAGTTAAATCAAAATTAAAATAGAGTAGTCCTAACCAGTAAAATTGTTTACAACAAAATGTGCAAACTATTAAAATATATCAATAATTGTAGTTTCTGCTATAAAAGAAAATTGTTAAAGGGAAAAACTGAAAGAATATGTGAGAAAAGTTATAGTTCCTCAAATAATGAAAATAAACTTATTATCCCCATAAAATTAGTTTTATTTCAAAATTAATTTTAAAAAGTAAAAATTCATAAAAGATATAGTTGAAAATTAATTTGACCAAATAAAGTGAAATTGCTGTTAAAAAGTTAACAGACTATATTAAACTTAAATAAAAGTAAAAGATAGTAGATGGTTCTGAAAGTATCTAAAAATAGTAGACAAAACAAAAAAAAGTACAAAAGTTACTAGACTATTTATTAGATTAAGCCTTTTTAGTTGGTAATGCTTGGTTATATTTTTTATGAACCTCTGCTTAGGAAGGCGTTTAGGGCATGTTTGGTTAGAAAGTTATTTTATTAGAAAAAAATTTATTAAGAAAGTAATTAGAAAAGCACTAAATAAAAAGTTAAAAAGTTTTATGCAAAACATTTTTAAATTTTTTAAATTTTATAATGAAATTTTGTTAAAATTTTATTTGATTATTAATTTTATTATGTTTGGTAACAAATTGATATAGAAAAAGTTTAAGAAAAATTATTAAATGGATCTGATGTAAGAAAAATTATTGAAAA